TAACTCTGTCCATCTTAGTGGGCTTGAAATAGTACTGTAGTTTTTTTTTGTACTTTAGATTTCTTTTCCTTAATGATGAATGATACTATGCTCATTAGTTATTTGTATATCTAATTTGGGAAAATACATGTTGAAATACTTTGCCCTTTTGTTTGTTTTTGGTGCTACCAGGGATTGAACCCAGGGCCCTTGCCTGGAGCTAAATAAATCCCCAGCCCTTTTTTTTGCTTGGAGACAGGATTTGGGTAGATTGCTAAATTGCCTACAGCTGGAATTTGGAGTCCTCCTGCCTCAGTTTCTAGGTGCTGGGATTACAGGCATGACCACACCTAGTTTGTCTGATTTTTGAGACAGGGTCTAGCTAGTATGATAGCCTCAGCTGGCCCTGAAGCCTGCATCCTTTTACTTCAGTCTCCCATGTGGTGGCATTACGGGCCTCTGCCACTGTGACAGGCTTCCTTTATCTTTGTTTTATTTTATTTATTTATTTAGGTTTTTTGAGACAGGGTCTCACTATGTAGTTGAGTTGAGACTGAATTGGAACTCACTATGTAGCCCAGGCTGGTCTCGAACTCATAGTGATCCTCCTGCCTCAGCCTCCCGAGTGCTAGGATTACAAGTGTGCGCCACCATGCCTGGCTTTTTATCTTTGTTTTATTCCCTTTTTTTGTTGTTGTTTTTTTGTCTATTTTGGGGACTGAATCCGGGGAATGCAATGTTAACTCCTCTCTAGTGCTTTTTATTTTTTATTTCAAGACAAGGTCTTAAGTTGTCTAGCCTGCCCTCAAATTTACAATCCTCTTGCCTCAGCTTCTGGGGTAACTGGAATCACAGGTGTGTGGAACCACACCTGCCCTAAGAATATATTCTGGATGTATGACTTGTAAACATTTTTCTCCCATTCTGTGAATTCTTTTACTTTTTTTTTAGTGTTTTGGAATAATAAGTATTTTAAATTTTGACAAAGTCCAACTTAACTACTTTGCAGGGAGGGTCTGCTTGTAAGGTCATATTTAAGAAACCATCAACTAATCCAGGGCCAATGATGCACCTTTTCTTACAAGAATCAGGTAGTTTGAGCTCTTATATTTAGGTCTTACTCTATTTCGAGTTCCTTTTTATTTGAGATTGATTTTTTTTTTTTTTTTTTTTTTTTTTTTTTTTGGGTTTAATCTTTTTTTTTTTTTTTTTTTTTTTTTTTTTTGGTGCTAGGGATTGAACTCAGGATCTTCTGCTTGGAGGCAGGTGGTGGAACCACTGAGCTAAATCCCTAGGCCTGTGATCGATTCTTTTGCATGTAGGTATCTTGTGGAGCTGGCACCATTTGCAGAACATGGCTCTCTTTTTAATTGTTCCTTCTCCTTTATTTTACCATCAAGTATCTTGCATGTTTGTAGGCACTATTACTGTAAGACTGTGGAGTGTGCAATTTGCACCAAGAACCTTGCCTTCTCTTGAAGGCTTATGTTCATTTGAGACTGATGAGGGCATATATACACGAAACTGTTAAATGGTACGTATTTAAGTGTTAGAGGAGTCGTGGAGAGGATGGAAGTTACCAGGAATTCAGAACTGGAAGTAATCTGTGGGCAGAGAGGTTCCTAAGGGAGGTGGGCCCATTGAGGTTAGGTAAGGCTTAGCACAGGGTGGGAACGTGCCTAATACAGCTACTGAAGCAGTCTTGTTCCTGCATGAGTGGCACACCTGTTAGACAAATTTAACATACCAAATCTCCCCTTAGCCTAAATTGTACTATTAGAAGTTAGAATAACCTGAAATAAATTTTGTGTGGTTGTATTTAGAGACAAGGGCAGTTTGTTTCTTAGCTACCTCATGTTGAATTGGGTACCTTAAAGATACCAACTTTTTTTTATTTATCTTTTTTACTTCTTCTAGTGGTTGTTGGCCCAGATTTACTGTATTCCCTCTTCATAGTCCCCGTGACCTTCTTAGGATTTCTTTTATTTCAAATCGGAGCTTGCTATGTTACCCAGATATGTCTCAAACTCCTGGGGCTTCAAACAGCTCTGCTTTAGCCTCCTGAATAGTTGGGAATACAGACCTGTGCCGACACATCCAACTTCTTAAGATTTGTTTTCTTGATAACTTTAGAGATCACTGGTGATTTCCACTTTTTAGTCCAGTGACTAGGTTTTATTTAGTTCATTTCTCATTTGACTTAGTGCATTTAACACAATTAGTTATTCCTGACAACCTGCTGTTCTCTCTTGGCTTTCTGAGACAAGGTCGCTATATGGTGCAGACCACCTCCTTCCTGGGCCTCCTGAGTGTGTGCCACCACACCCAGCTTGTTAGTTGTCTTTTCCAGCTGCACTTCAACTCTATGCTGCCAACTCTTTTTAGTTCTGTTTTGTCTCATGGTCAAGAATCATTTGTGTGTATGTGTCTCATGGATTTGTGATTCAGATTTGTGTGTAGCACCGACGTTCCTCTAGAACTCCAGACTTACAATCTTCAGCTGACTACGCACATTTGCCTTGGGGTGCCTACTTAACATCTCAAGTTTAGCAAATCCAAATTGATTATATCTTTCTCAGCCCCTCAGACTTACGCAGCCTTTTTTTCATCTTAATGGGAGACAATTTCAAATCTTTGTAGTTGGATTAGGCAATAAACATTGGAGACATGAGTCCCTCTCTTCCCTCATATGCAGGCAGGAAGTCCTAAACCAGGGTGCCACCAGCTCCCAGATTGCTACCACAGCCTCCTCCTGCTTTAACCTACTGCTCCTGCACTTGCCCTCCTATCCTGGAGGGACTGTGTTAAAACCTTATGTCACTTGGTTCACTCCCTGTGCTCAGAACATTGCCGTGGGTCTCCCTTTCACCCACCATAAAATCTGAAGACTTTACAGTGCCAAAAAATCCCTATAGAAATAGGACCTCTGTTGTCTCTTGAACCTGCTCTCTTGATGTTTTCCTTCTCCAGAAACCTACTTTATATACTCTGGCTGGCCACTTTACTGTCTGAATAATCTAGGTGTGTAGCAGTTGTGTCCTCTCTTCCCGGAATGCATTCTTCCAAGATAGCCCCATGGCTAATTCCTTCCCTGCTTTGGATCCTGAACTCAAGTCCTTTACCTAGGAGGTCTGCCGTGTCCATCCAGCCTGTTTCGGTAATTGGTTGAGCCCACAGCCCTCAGCCTCTTTTACTTTGTCGTCCCTTCGCCCCAGCATGCAGCATCTTTTATCATACCCTTGACTTATGAACTCAATTCATTCCCAGGGGCAGTTGTAACTCAAGCTGGTCGATTGAAGGCTCAGGCTCCTTCCTCTACACAAAGTCTTTCTCCTGTACACAGGCAGATTTCAGTGTCCTTAGAGAGACATTGGCCCAGGATTTCTCAGTAGTAGTACACAGTAGTAGTAAAGGATGCTACAGTTTTCCTTTTAGAACTATTAAGGGTTAAATATTCTAGGACTCTTAAGGGTATCTGAGATTATCTGGAAGCACAAGCGGCTGGCATCCGGTTCATAACTCAACACTTTGTAAGTTAAAATTAAAATTCTAGTCGTAACCCAAGTTGTTTGTATGTCAGTTGTAACTTGAGGGTCCACTGTTCTGTATAAGTTACTTATTTGTTGTTATGGCTAGCATTAGAAGAGATTTTTAGTAATTGTTTCACTGCAAAAATCCCAGAAGACAGGAATTTTTGGTTATTCCGTTTCACTGCTATCCCTGTCACATAGTACATATTTATTGAGTACTCCTAGGTCCCCAACAATTGAATCCGTAATTTTGAGGATAGGAGTCCAACTATCAATGACTTTAACCAGGCGAGCTGGTGACTCAGATGTAAATTCGAGTTAAAGAAGCATTGCTATGAATATTGATTAGGATTTTGGAAACCATCCTCTTGCTTCCTGGTAGTGATAAATTGGTACAGATAATGGGTAAATACTGGAACTGGATTTGATATCTCTCCCCCTCCCCCTCCCCTCCCCTACCCCTTTTCCTGCTGGATGAACCCTTTGGAAGAAGGTAGCACAGGGAGAGGGGATATAAACCATAGTAACCGTCAATGGATTTATTATGAGTCAGGGGTCCCAAGATCACCTTTGGGTCCCAGCATGTCACCAAGAGGATCTTAACAATTCAGTATATTGTCAGAAGATTTATTATAGCAAAAAGATACAGAGAGAAAAGGGTCACAGGCCAAAGTCCAGAGGAAACCAGGAGAAATGTTCCAAGGGTTCTCTTCCAGTGGAGTACACAGAACATGTTTAATTCCTCCAGCAACAAGTTGTGACAAGTAGAAGCTCATTAAGGGCTGGTCATGCTGGCACCTTTTGCCTAGACCAGAGTTTCAGATTCCTGAAAGCAAGTGTTCGCCATGAGTCACATTGTACAACAGTTTAGGTATAGTGAGCTAGTCTTTTTTTTTTTTGGTAGAAGATAACTGGGGATGGAACATGGGGTCTTTGGCCTTGAACTTGTGATCCTCCTGTCTCACCTTCCCAGAGTGTTGGGATTTGGGGCACATCCTGAGACACCTGAGCTGTTCTTATCAGTTAGAGCTAAATTCAGAGGCCACCAGTGGCCAGCTTGGTGTGCAGAACTTTCTAAGGATTGCAGTGTCAGGCCTGCTGTGTTAATGCTTTTTTGTATATCATTGTATCTAAAGAAGTTTGCTTGGTGGTTCTTCAGTTATTTATATGGAATGTTAAAATTAGTTAAAAGTTCTGGAAAATAGTTAATTAGTTCTGGAAAATAGTTCACAATGTTCACAGTTTGTGCTGTTTTTTAAATTACAAAATTTATTTCATGCCAAAGTTTTCTTATTTCCAAAATTAAGATACTTTCTTAGGATTCACTTGAAAAAATAACATCTATGAATGTGACCATCTGCTTCAAAGCAGATACTGGGTTGTTGTTTTTGTTTCTTCTTTTCTTCTTTCACTTTCTTCTATCTTTCATGTTCCTGAGAAACTTGCCATCTTTAGTTGAGTAACCAATCCTTCTTTCTTTGTTTTTAATAGGCCAAGATGCTGAATTATCAGGGACACTTTCACTTGTTTTGACACAGTGCTGTAAAAGAATAAAGGATACTGTTCAAAAATTGGCATCAGACCACAAAGACATCCACAGCAGTGTTTCTCGGGTTGGAAAAGCCATCGATAAGGTATAGTATTGAAGGAAGTGATTTGTGTCTTTTAGCATCCTTCTCCACTTGGCAGTACTTTAATAACATTAGCTGTTTCAAATTATCCTGCTAGTCCTCTTTTTCTTTTTAGCTTTTATTTATCTATGTATTTATATACAACTCCCTCTTTTTCTTTTGAAAACTTTGACAGCTCTAGTTTTCCTGGGTTACTCTTATTAAAGTTCTCTGTTGGTATTATTTAAAAAACAAGAAACAAAACCAAAAATGCTGTCCTTACATAGCTTTGTTCCTTATCTCTTTGCTTATGACTAGAGCCCTGAGAAATTTTAACCAGTATGTGGGAGTTTGTTTATAGGAGTAACTTTTCTTAACTTCCTGAGTAACTCCTGGCTGCTGACTTTGTTAAGGGGTGATTGAAACAACCACCTTGGGACTGTCGTCTCTCTTGCCTCATCCTGTGTCTTGTCCGCTGTGGGCATGCTAGTTGCTTTTCTTCAGCACTGCCTCCTGTGTGAGTGAGTGAGTGAGTTACTTGGTAGCCAGCAAAGCTAGTTCCTTTTGTTGAATTATTTTGTGTGATATTTCTTGAGTAAGCAATTTTTTTGGCTCATAAGCAGCTGTCATTTTTACCACTAGGCCAGTTTTGCCCATGAAGTTCATTGTCCTCATGGGACCTAAGTGCCCAAGGTTGTTCTCTGGTAACACTACTTCCTTGAGCCTTTGGGGAGGTTGTGATTGGTCATGGACATTTCTGTTCACCCGGAAAAAACATCTGGGAGGGCAGAACCAGTGTCTGAGGAGAGCTCTTTGTAGCAATGGCATTTCTAAATGCTTAGTCCTATGTGTTGCCTCATCTATGTGCACAGCAGTGATGGCTATAAGAGATGACAGAAGCTCCTTGAACTGCAAGAGTGAGGCTAATGCATGGGTTGGCCTAGCTGTTAGGAGTTATCTTAGAAAACAGTACTATAGTTTTAGAAGGCTGGCCTCGAGGCTAAGTCAGAACTGCTTCTAAGGAGATCCTGTTTACTGGTACATATGTTACAATAGGACTAGTGGCGGGGGCTCTGGGACTTGTTTGGCCATGACTTACAGAAGTGTTAGTGGCATTTCAGTGAGCTGTCACTACTTCCATACTAGTATGAAGGCTTCGACACAGCAAAAGAGGTCAGAGAGTGGTGTTGACAGCAGCAGGGTTCCAGCCTCAATGGGCCTGTGCTGGCTATTGCCAGCAAATCTGGGAAGGCAGTGAGTATTCTCAGAAACAACTTCAAAACTGTGAAGCCTGTTTGGTAGCTCCAAGGCAGTGAACACAGCTTTGGAAGTAAGTTAGGGATGAGACCATTTCAGGACTGTGGTACTGGAAGCCTTCAGTTAGTAGTCCCTGAAAGGGCTGTTCATAAGATTCAGCTTCAGGACCATGGGAGTACTGATGGGGCACTTTAGAGATGGTCTTAATTCACTTGTGGTTAAGGAACCCTCAGTTCTCTGGAGTAGTAACTACTGGTGGTATTTAAGAAGCTTTCAGACCATGATCAAGGTATCTAGTGATTCTGATAGCTCACAGTTGGTTTTGGGGGAAATAGCAACTACCAGGCTGGCTGCTTGCGATTATGGCAGAGGGACATCCTCCGGACAGGGAACTGGAGAGTGCCAAGACAGTGAGAAGACAGTGCTTCCAATGTAGCCATTCAGAATGTATTGGGGGAAAGAACCCTGGTTCTTTGAATAAATGCGAATGCTCTCAATAACCATACCCCAAGTGTGGGCTATGGGCCAGCTGGATTAGGAATAGCTGGGCGAGTAATTCACTAGCTGTCCATTGTGCCAGTAGTAGAGTGTGACCATTTTCCCCTATTTCCTGCTTGATGTCTGTTGTCATGTCATAATTATTGTTAAAACCCTCTTTTCCCCTTTCTTCCCCATTGGTGCCTGACTTGCTGAGCAGGTCTTCTTCAGACCTAGCAGGTCTTTACAGATATTCCTACAGGTCATCAGATATCTTGACTTGTATTTATTTATTTATTTATTTATTTTTGGTTTTTTGAGACAGGGTTTCACTATGTAGTTGAGACTGACCTGGAACTCGCTATGTAGCCCAGGCTGGTCTCAATTCAGCAATCCTCCTGCCTCAGCCTCCCAAGTGCTGGGATTACAGGCATGTGCCACCACGCCCGGCCAGATATCTTGACTTTGAGACAAAGCATTTAGATGTATTTGATGTCAAAAATGGAACTGTCTCTTTGGATATATCAAGAGAATACATTTATAGTAAATAATCTACATTCTGACTTTGAGGGGATGGGCTGTTTGAGTTGAATGTTTCTAATTATATTTTAAAATTCTTACTCAAGATTCTAGGTGACCTGGATTCTTCTCATCATATGAAACTATGTTATTTAGCTGATACTGATAAGTATGTGTTGGATTGTAGTCCAGAGCCACAGGGGAAAGCCTGGATCTTTTAGCCCAGTTAGGCTAACATCTTTTTCCATGCTTTGGGCATCTGCTTTCTTTAGCTGAAGAGGAAGCAATGCCTAGAGGCTATCTAGACATTGTAAACAGGCTTCTCTTGTATATGAGGGATTCTGTGTAGGCTCTTGTCACATTAGAGTCGGTTGATTTAAGTCCTCCACTTTTTTTGTTTTTTTGGTACTGGGGATAGAACTCGGGTCCTTGAGCTTGCAAGGCAGGCCACCGAACTGCTGAGCTAAATCCCCAGGCCCTATGTCCTCCACTTTTTAACTTGAATCTGGTAAATTGTGTAAGCTCTGGGCAGCTTGTTGTAAAGCTGGGTGGACTCATAAATTGGTGTTGAGCAAACAGGATCAGGCTGAAGCCTCTGTGGCTTCACTGTGGTTTGTAGGTACCACAACAGAGGCCTGTGTAATAGACTGGAATGCTGTCTAGCAGCTTGTGAGTGCCATTTGATGGATTCGTCCTTCTGTCCTCACAGGATGATAGTCAGAGAAGCCAGTCGCTCTTTTATGAGCAGTGGTTTTTTTTTCCCCCCAAAGTATATTGACAATAGCGAGTCTAAAGTGAAATTTAGCTTTTAAACCCTACCTGTGACCAGGAAGCTATGAGTATTTGTGCAGATTAAGAGTAAGGATTTGTAACAGCATATGAGGAAAAAAATGTGGCCCTTTCAGAGGGCAAAAGAAGATTAAGAAAGGACCAGTTGATAGCCGGGTGTGGTGGTACACATTGTAATCACAGCACTGTGGTCATGAGGCAGGAGGGTACTGAGTTCAAGGCCAGCCTGGACTACATAGGAAGACCTGTCTGAACTCCTGCCCCACAACAAAAGGATCACTCAGGTAGTCATTATATGCATACATTAGGTGTATACAGACTACTTGTGCATGAACAGGACATAGGACATTCCAGTTGATCAGTCACCTTTGTGTTACCATCACCTCCTTTCTCAGAAAACTCTTGAGGGGAGTGGGTATTTTTATCCTGAATGACCTTTTTTTTTTTTTTTTTTTTTTTTTTTTTT